CTTGCAGCCTAAAATTATTTCATTAGCCACTACTTCCATACCCAATATCCTATTTTCTAAGCATTTTACGGGCAGGAAGAATACCATTTCCGTTATTGCGATACCATGTCTATTTCCTCCTAATATTTATGCTGTTTTTAATCTTCATTTCCTTCAGTTGACAGATTTTGGGTTGTCCAAGGTTGGTCTGATCAATAGCACAGATGATCTATCTGGCCCTGCTGTTAGTGGGGCTTCATTGTATGGAGACGAGGAACCTCAGATGAATGAATTAGAGGAAATGGATCACCGAGCACGGCGACAAAAGCGTTCTGCGGTTGGAACCCCTGATTATTTAGCACCAGAAATCCTTTTGGGGACAGGGCATGGTAAAATGATAAACATAATTTTAGTTTAAATTCTATGTTTTCTTTTGATCTTGACTATTACTTTTTTGCTGTGTGCATTATCTTCACAGGTACTAGTGCAGATTGGTGGTCTGTAGGTGTAATTCTTTTTGAGTTACTTGTTGGAATACCTCCATTTAATGCAGAGCACCCTCAGGTACCATACTTTGCATTTTCTGTATAAAATGTTGGTTGCTAGAACTCAATGTTGGTTTCTGTTATCTGGATGTGTTGATGCAACTTGACATTCTTGTTGTACTTGTTTCTGCAGACAATTTTTGACAATATTCTTAATCGCAAAATACCTTGGCCACATGTCCCAGAAGAGATGAGTTTTGAAGCGAAAGATCTAATTGACAAGTAAGATTTTTTCCAAACCATCTGAGTACTTAATTAATAATGTTTATAGCGTTACATGATAGTATGTTATTGCTTCCTGTTCAAATGTTAATAAGGGCTTTAGGTATTGTGCTTTGTCATATGTGTACTTTGGGGAGTTGGGATCTGGGAGCACTGTTCCAAATATGGCCAGTTAATCGACATCTCGGTCAGTTAATCGCCACTTGGTGGGTCACCGAATAGCCAATTAACTGATTTATCGGACGATTAACTGGAAAATGCGCCTATTTATCCCTACTCAGCACCTGACCGATATATGGTACCAGTTACCGATATCCTGAACATTATCTGGGAGTTAAAGGGCTAATATTATTGCATGTTTGGGCTGCATTCATTTTGATTATTGTTGCAATACACAAAAGAAACCTAACCATACATGTCCACTAATTATACTCCCTCCGTCCCAAAATTCTTGTCTTAGATTTGTCTAGATACGGATGTATCAAGTCATGTTTTAGTATTAGATACATCCGTATCTAGACAAATGTAAGACAAGGATCTTGGGACGGAGGGAGTATCTTCTAAATCATACACTAATGATCCACCTTCTCCTCGAAAAGGAGATTTTAGTGAATAACCAAATATAGCACTGGGGCTAAGGATCTATCATGAGATTCACCTAAATAATCGAAGCCTGAAAGGTATAATCCATTATTATTCATTTATACGCTGTTGGGTAAACTGACATACGATCTTGCTTACTTCAACTGTTCGATCACCGCACAAGTTGCTTCAGATCAAGTTTATTAATTAGAATTTCATATTGTTGGTTGTATTACACAGGTGGGATTTAGAGTCAAACTAGACACAAGTACTTCCATACTCATGTCATTGCAAACAGTTATAGTTGTTCGCCGGATAGCTTGGCATTTGCTCTCTACTTTGAGATGACATAGAACCGGCCTTTATAGTTTTGCAGTTTCTATGAATAGGATAATAGTAGTACTGTAGTAGCATGTTCCGTATATGCTATGTTTGTCACCCGTGCTCTCAGTGGAATATATAGTCTGGAATCTTTGTACATTTTCTCTTTTAAGTATAGGCATGCCATCAATGGTGCAGATTTCAGTTACAAGACCGCTTAGCAACTTCATGCTCAGATTCTAAATGTTTGATCTATTTAATTGCCGATATTGTTTAAGTAAGACTAGAGTGATCTTACAATAAGTTCCTCCAGATTTTTGACAGAAGACCCTCATCAACGTCTAGGATCAGATGGTGCCTCTGAGGTATTTTGATGGTGCTAGAAATTTCCTTTCATGGAACTTTATTTCATTGATACTCTATTAAAATATTTTATGATATATACCTGATTGATGTTGCTAATCCTATTTCCTTTAGGTCAAACAACATCCATTCTTTAAGGATGTTAGCTGGGATACCATTGCTAGGCAGAAGGTGAGATAGTGTTAACGATTATTTTCTGAAGACACGAACTGCATCTCTTTTGTACAGGCATACCAGGGATAACAGAAAAATCATTTGCAGGCTGCCTTCGTTCCCTCCTCAGATAGTGCATTTGATACCAGCTACTTCACCAGCCGTTACTCTTGGAATCCATCAGATGAAAACATGTATGAAGCATATGAGTTTGAGGATTCCAGTGAGAATGGAAGCCTTAGTGGCAGCAGTAGTTGCGTGAGCAATCACCAAGATGACATGGTATGGATAATTTTTGTCTCAGTGATTGAAAAGAACATGATTAAGCAATTTCAGTAGTTGTAGGAAGCCAAAAAAAAGCTGTATTTTCATTTCGGATTGTTAATCTACCTTTATGTTCTTCAGTTCCTTTGGTAAACTGTTTCAAAATTGTGAATTAGGGGGATGAGCATGGAGGTGGCCCCACCGACTTTGAATCCGGCCCAAATGTCAATTACTCTTTCAGTAACTTCTCGTTCAAGGTAAACCTACAGCTTCACAGGCCTTACTTTTCGTTCATATCCAATGATGATTGAAGTATATCAACACATAGATTGAATGATCTTGAATTAACTGTTCCCCAAGTGTGTGTGTTAGCCCTTCCCTTTCCACTATATCAAACATAGCTTACATTTCTTTCTTCGAGTGAATTTTGAATATTACAAGTTTGCACGCAAATTGCAAGAAAATGACAGCTCAAGGACCAAATTGCAAGAAAATTGCTTTGTCCGATTGGTGGACAGGCAATTTGGCGTGCTGTGTGGGAATGGTCTAGTATTTTGTAAGTATGAAGTGAGCCTGGGTTGGACTTGGATGCATCCTAAAACTTGGTAGTTTTGTAGTAGAGTTTTTTTATCCCCAAAATCTGCAATCTTGTAATAGTTTCTACATCCAACCATTTTTACGAAATTTACGCGTCCTGTCCACTGCTTGGCATTAAATATCACCATTTTAACATCATCGTATACTGTTAAGAGCCAGATGCAAATATTCCGCACAATCATTGCCATAGTAGCCAGAGGCAAATATTGAATGCTAAGTTGGTTAAGCTATAGTTCAGTTATCCACTGTAACACATTATACACATAGTACAAATACCCAAAGTTATTAGTAATGTTCCAACACTGCAAATGACAGTTTTGACCTGTCACTGCATCTGTGGTCTGGTTTCAAATGCGAAACCAGTCCTTAAAATGTAAATCCAGTCCCTTTTGTGCATCGCCCTTGTAAATTCTTCTGGCCACAGAATCCATCCCAAAGTTATTAATAATGACCCGGCACTGCAAATAACAGTTTTCACCTGTCATTGTGATTGCGATCTGGTTTCAAATATGATATTAGTCCTTAAATATACATCCGTGAAATTTTATTATTAGCCCCCTCGTGCATATATGCTGCATATCATTCTTTTAAATTCTTCTTGCCGCAGAATCTTTCACAACTTGCATCCATCAATTATGATCTGCTGACGAAAGGATTGAAGGACGAGCCTCCTATGAAACCTGAAACATAGCCGCGTTTATACTGAGGTTTGATTTATTTGAAGTAACCAAAACAGTTTACAAGGCGCTTGGGTGGTGTGGATCTTGTACATGTAAGTGCACCAGTTTTATGCGCAGTTAAATATCGCATATGCGATGCTGTTCCATCTAATTGCTACTATCAATTTTGCAGATGAAAGTGAGGCATGGACATCCAGCGGAGTGCAGTTTTGCGGTGGAAACAATTGTGGTGTCATCGTCGGTGAAACATCCTTGACCATAAGTTGGCATGAGTCACCTAGGAGCTCTGCTTTTTTTTTTTGGTCCCATCATCGGCCTTGGGTGCCCAAAATTGGTCAAGGTTTACTGTATTCAGAATACAACCCCTGAAAGTGTAGATGGTCTCAGAATTGTCGTAATCGTGGCAGGTCATTGGGGATGGAGTAGGTTTACCTGTACTCAGAACTGTTGCCGTAACATTCACTGGGTATAAAAAATCTGGTCAATGCAAATGCTCCAAATTTCTTGCTGTCAGTATCAGTTTCCTTGATTGACTGGTGCATCTAGAGTATATTTTTACCCAACTAATTAGCTCGAGATCAGTTGACTTAAATGCCAGCAAATATTACGAAGCATAATTCTGGCTTGATTCCATAGAACAGTTGAAGTTTTTGTAACAGAACCGTGCCCTGAAATTTAGCTGAAAATGATTGGATCCAAGTACATGTGCCTTGGGAATCTACTCACTCTGCCCCAAAATATATAGCGCGTACAAGATGCCCAAGGCACCACCTAAGATTCCTAATGCACCAGCAGAGTAGAAAAAAGAGTCGAACATCCAGAGTATTAAATTAATACTAGATTCATCACGAGATATATTTGGTGTTGTAGCTATAGATAATTTTCTATATAAACTCAGCCGAAGTCCATGAAGTACAACTTGAGATAAAACCAATGCGCACTGTATTAACTATCACAAAATGAATCGGTCAACAACAAGTGTGTATGACTTTGAATAATCATGATGCGCTACAAAAATGCAGCAACCAGCCCAATCACCTTTAGAAACAAGACGTTCTGCTCTTTCTATGGCGACATTCAGTCAAATACAAGGTTCCGTCAAAAGGCGTTAGATAGAAAAAACGAGCATTAACATATCCCAGGTAACACTCAAGATAAGAATACACGCCAAAACGATGCAACATCAATGGTCAACCCATGGCAGGAGAAATTTCATCGAACATCGATTGTCAACCAATGGCAGGAGCACTTTCTTCCACCCATATCCATACCCTGATAGTAGGAAACTTTTTTCTTAGGTATTCTCATTGAATGCGTGGCCACATTCCGGGCACTCGTAGAAGATAGTCTGCCCCTCATCCGCTGACCGAAGCTGCAATTGCACGTCAAGAAGGTCGGTAGGATTCAGAACTAGAAAGAGAAAATCATAACTAAAGCTGAAGGTCAGCAAATAACCTGCTTCGTGTAATATTCGAGTTCATGATGGTTGCATTCTGGACAGGCTCGCTCTGTCTAAAGGCAGACGAGGATATATGTGAAACGCTCAAGGTATCCATCCATCCATCCAAAAACTAATAACCAGGGGCAAAAGCAAACAATTTAGCTTACCAGGGATCTTTGCACGATTATGTCCATATTTGGCGCCGATTCAAGAACCACAAACGGTTTCATCTTTAGCTCTCTTCTAATATCCTGTCAACAACGTATGTAATTCAAAATCAAGCACGTGCTCCGGAAACAGAAACTTGTGTTGCCTGGTAAAAGAATCTGCACATGCAAGCTAGCAGGATCTAAAATCAACAGATGTCTTGTACAGTTACACTAGACCACAAAATCAAAATTGTCAAAGTATAACAGTTCTAGGGTAAGCTTACACATCCCGAGCTAGAAAATCATCAATTCTTAATGTATGGAATTTGTTCCATTTAATTAATTAAGCTAATTCATGCATTCCAAAAGACTGAACAATTTTCTCAAGTCCAGCAGTAGCTTGGCAGGACCAGTGTATTCCTTCAAGAAACACGACACTGCAATCTAATTAGCCGAGTATATAAGCCGTTCTGCACACCTAGTTCTTCGTCTGGAACCATTGGTTGATTTTGACAGAGAGAGATGGACGTACCTCCGCGGTGACCGCGTACCGAGTTTCTTTCCCTTCGATATCTGCAGAAAATAAGGGGCCAGTTCTGCATTAGCCACGGGATTGCCAGTCACAAGGATGCTTGGGACCAAGAGTTCTGTGATTCGGGATCCGCAGAGAGGAGTAAGCTTGGGCCTGGAGGAAGGAACGAAGGAAGGGAGGGGGGAGACCTTTGGCCTTGCGCTTGAAGCCGCAGAGGGGGCAGGAGGCGTAGCGGTGGGAGTTGAAGTCGAGGAGGGTGCCGCACACGCCGCAGAACAGGAAGTCGCGCGCCTGCCAGAAAGCCATCGCCGCCGGCCACACCGCGCCGCCGTGCGGGAGATACAGAGACAGGGGGGAGAGAGAGAGAGAGAGAGAGAGAGGGGGGGCCTTTCGTTTACTTCCTCTTCTTCCGACCTCTGTCTGCGGCGATGATCAGCAGGGGAACGGCCGGCTGCGCACTTAGGGTTTCACCGTGGATTCGCAGTCCGGCCCATTAGGATGGATGTGGACCGGTCACCATCAGGCGGAGAAGTGTGTCTCTGCGGGCCCTAGGGAAAACTCTAACGCCTAGCCCAAGAGGCCCGGTAAAGGTGTGTTGGTCACCGCGTGCACGCGCCAGGGGCTAGGTATCTTTTAGTCGGCACTCAAAAAAAAAAATCCTATTTTTTTTTAAATGGGTATCCTTAGTCCCACACAGCTATACGAGAAGAACTTCGACCACTTTAAAACATCACTTCAATCGTTGCTCATCGCCGGGCTTGGTGGCGCTTGCCTATGACCGTAGATGAACGGGGCAAACGGAAATTATGCAAGCCTCACATGGTGCACCGTGTGAGTGCAGCATTTCCCTAAGAGTAACTGGATTTAAGCAAGCGGACTGGTACATCCGTGTACCGCTCCCGCAGCTTGTCTAGTACTTTCTTTTTTCCCTTAATAATTGTTATATTTTGGCATTTTTTCAATTACTAATATATTTTGAAAATCATCAGCATTATGCACAGTTAATATCACGGATGGCGCCAAGTTTTGAAAATCCTTGTCTGACGTACCTTTATTGTGTCTTAGCATTATTTATTTGCACAATCTTTGAAATCTTTGGCATCCCTAGGGGTTTGCACAGCGGATCAAACCAAGGGTTGTAGTATGTTTTTTTTTACTATATCTTAGCGTTGTTGTTTAATATGTATTGCTCAATCTTTGATATTCTGAGCGGCTTGTCTAATACTTTCTTCTTTTAATTACTATATTTTTAATTATGGGAATTTGGTTTTTCATTACATTTCTAAGTACTTTATTTCCCCCCTAATAGTTATATTTTTAAAACACGAGAATTCAAGGAAATGCTCAACTATTATATTTCGACAATCATGAGAATTTTGGACAACTGATATCATCGATGGCATCGAGGATCGTTGTCTGATATGTTTTTACTGTGTCTTAGCATTATTCTTTTATACTATATATTAGATGGCCAACTGCAGCCCGGAAGCGAAGTGAACTATTAAGATTTTTTTTCCTCAACTGTTTGCAAATGATTATGTTCATACTACATTTTTATTTGTCTTGACAATGATCATTGTCCATAATTTTTCTTCGGCGATTTGTTTTTGATGACACGAAGCTTTGTTGGTGATGATATTTTTTTTCCAACTGTCAGTAACTGCGTAAAGACCAACTACAACCAGAAGTTTTCTTTGAACATACTACAATCAGAAGTTAAGCAAACTATGATGACACGTTTAACAGACACTTCTTTAATAAATCATCCTAAAAGGGTGATTGAGAAGGTGAATTGACCTTTCATGTTCCAGCCGGGTTAATAGAAAACCCAAACGCATATCCCACGGCAAATGTCATGAAACATTCGAAACAAGAACCCCACCAGGGAACACATGAGCAGAAGGAAACCAAACAAACCGACAAGACGATCGACGATCAAGCAAAGAGTGCGACTAGCGAGCACATAAAGCATACACGTCTGTCAACCAGGCAGCAGGGGTAAAAGGCCGGGAGAGATAATAGAACACGCCATCGGGCCAGCCACTGTGGTCCAACACCGGACAGCACAACGCGTTATCTGTTCAGCTGCAAGGGTCTCAAGGTCCGGACAGGGATAAAAAACGCACCCAGATCCCAAAACACACCGTTCGGTCAAGGGGACGCAGCGGCGAGAAGCCATGACACAGTCTGACAAGACGCCTAACGGAGCACACGCAAAAGAAGCCCAACGTTCACATTTTGTTTCTACCAATGACCATTCGAAGGAGGCAAGGAGCGCAAAGTCAAACTGCAACTAAACAGGTAAGGAAGATATATGAAACAGTACCCGACGAATGCATTCAGACATAATCCATCCATACACAAAGGGTGTCGTGGACTTAACACACAGATGCCCTAGCGAAAGGACTTAGGTGTGGAGCCATCGCAGCTAGGTTAGCTTAAAGGGGTTAATCGGGACAAATGACACACAGGGTTTATACTGGTTCGGCCCCTCGCAACGAGGTAAAAGCCTACTCCAGTTTGAGGTTGTATTGCTTAGGTTTCGATTACCAGGGAGCGAATACGCTTGACCTAGTTCTCGATCTCTTGTTTCTTGCCTTAACCCGCCGCCGGGTCACCCCTTTATGTACACAGGTTGATGCCCGGCGGCTTACAGAGTCCCGGCCGGCTCATACACAATGTGTCCGGCTCGGTGACTAATTAAGCTTGCCTTACAATACAAGTACACAATATGGCGGTTCATACCCATGGGCCTCAAGTCACCTCTGAGTCTTGGGCTTTCAATAAGCTTGTTCTATGGACCACCATACTCATCATCATCCCGGGCCTTCTCTTCTTAAGCCGCCAGTGGCATGACCCGACCCCTCCTGGGCGGGTCATACCCAATAGTTATATCCCCAACATTAGGCCCGAGGTTGATTTGAACTTGATCACATCAATCTTCAATACTTGACTTAGCAGAATCTTGCATCGTCAACTTTTATGAAGTTGCTATAATCCGCCATGACGTCAGCTCACAGAATCATACTAACCCGCCATGATGTCATCCTGCATTAACTTCGCACGAAGCTCAAAACATCTTAACAGATCTTCATCTTTAATGGACTTTTCGAAATTCGAGGCGCCCGTGCAGTCACATAATTACTTTTTGGCCTCCTCGATCCCCGCGCATGCCAGTTATCCATCTGCTTATAAATTGGGATGATACGTCTCCAACGTATCTACTTTTCCTAACGCTTTTCCTCTTGTTTTGGACCCTAATTTGCATGATTTGAATGAAACTAACCCCGGACTGACGCTGTTTTCAGCAGAACTACCATGGTGTTGTTTTTGTGCAGAAATAAAAGTTCTCGGAATGGAACGAAACTTTGCGAGGAATTTTTATATAATATATAAGAATTTCTGGAGCCAAGACCTACCGGAGAGGGGCCCCTGGGTGGGCACAACCCACCAGGGTGTGCCCCCCTCTCCTGGCGCGCCCAGGTGGGTTGTCCCCACCTGGTGGCCCCGCAGACCCTGAAACCGACGCTATAAAATCCTGTTTTCGGAGAAAAAAATCAGGGAGAAAGAATTATCACGATCCACGAGGCGGAGCCATCGCCAAGCCCTGTTCTTCCTCGAGAGGGCAGATCTGGAGTCCATTTGGGGCTTCAGAGAGGGGGATCTTCGTTCTTCGTCATCACCAACCCTTCTCCATCGCCAATTCCATGATGCTCCCCATCAGGAGTGAGTAATTTCTTCGTAGGCTCGCTGGTCGGTGAGGAGTTGGATGAGATTCATCATGTAATCGAGTTAGTTTTGTTAGGGCTTGATCCCTAGTATCCACTATGTTCTTAGATTGATATTGCTATGACTTTGCCATGCTTAATGCTTGTCACTTTTGGGCCCGGGTGCCATGATTTCAGATCTGAACCGTTTATGTTATCACCATTATATTCATGTTCTAGATCTGATCTTGCAAGTTATAGTCACCTACTACGTGTTATGATCCGGTAACCCCAGAGTGACAATAACTGGGACTTCTTCCGGTGATTACCGTAGTTTGAGGAGTTCATGTATTCACTATGTGTTAATGCTTTGTTTTGGTTCTCTATTAAAATGAGGCCTTAATATCCCTTAGTTTCCAATGTGGACCCCGCTACCACGGGAGGGTAGGACAAAAGATGTCATGCAAGTCCTTTTAATAAAGCACGTATGACTATTTACGGAATACATGCCTACACTATATCGATGAACTGGAGCTAGTGCCATATCGCCTTAGGTTATAACTATCTCATGATGAATATCATCCAACAAGTCACCGATCCACTGCCTACGAATTTTTCCATATTGTTTCTGCTAAGTTACTACTGCTATCATCACTGTTACACTTGCTACAAAATTACTGCTATCAGTATTACTGTTACTATTGCTGCTGCTACTACTATCAAAACTATCAAACTACTTTGCTATGGATCACTTTGTTGCAGATAATTAATCTCCAGGTGTGGTTGAATTGACAACTCAGCTGCTAATACCTTCAAATATTCTTTGGCTCCCCTTGTGTCGAATCTATAAATTTGGGTTGAATACTCTACCCTCGAAAACTATTGCGATCCCCTATACTTGTGGGTTATCAAGACCCTTTTCTGGCGCCGTTGCCGGGGAGCATAGCTATATTTCTTGAGTCACTTGGGATTATTATCAGTTTATCACTATGAAGAATCTGAAGGATGCTAATACTAAGATTTTTCCCTCAAGACGAGGGGAGGTAAGGAACTGCCATCCAGTTCTGCTTTAGATTCACCTTTTGTTATAAGTAAACTTGCAACACCACCACATGCTATTAATTCTGATATGTCGCAAGTTATTGATGATGCTACTTCTGCTATGGATAATGCTTATGATGATGCTAGTACCTTGCTTTATAATGATAATGTGCCACTTGGTGAATTTCTTGATGAACAAATTGCTAGAGTAATACAACATGATGTTGTTGAATCTGATGATGAGCTTGAAACTGAAACTCCTGAAACACCTGCTAGAACTAGTCTTCCTAGATATGAATTGCCTAAGGTACTGGAAGGTTATGTTATGAGTGAAGAAACAACTAGAGATATTCTTGCTTGCAGAGATAGAGATGATCTAGAGAAATTATTATGCAAGTATAAAGAAAAATCTCTGAATGCTAGAATGAAATATGATCCTAAGTTTGCTACTTCACCTATCTTTATTGATGATAAGGAATATGAATTCTCTGTCGACCCAGAGTTAATTACTTTGGTTGAATCTGATCCTTTCCATGGTTATGAAACTGAAACTGTTGT